TGGAAGTGAAGTTACAGACAGTTTCGAGTCACATATGTGCTGAGAACTGAATCTGGGCTCTTTGCTAGAGTTTCTAGTGCTCCTAACAACTGAGCCATCTCTCTAGCCCCTAAAGAATGTTCTTCACCAACTCAGAGTTTTATCTGTGAGGTCTTTGAGAGTCTGAACATCTCTGTCAGAAGAGAAGCTAGCTGTCCTCCTAAAACCTAGGGAGTTTGCCTCTTTGTGTCGTTCTCGATTTGGTATTAATCTGGTAGCTTCATTTTCTTGGCTATATTATTTAGCAAGCACACTTCTCCAGATTCTCTTCAGTGAGTTGAGCTGGAACATCCTTTTGTTTTTTAACCTTAAAACCTTTATAAGTGAAAGGAGACAAAAGCAGAATGCTATTTGTAAGTGCTCAGAAGAAACCTTAATGCATGCAAAACATTAGTGTGCTGCTGTGAATCTAAGAAGAAACCTTTAACAAATAGCTGTATTAACTTTTTTACTTGTAAAGCAATCTAATTATTTATTATTGATAATATCATTTAATTAATTAAATTTGTTCTCTGACAGTTTCAAAAAGGTATAAAATGCAAACTGAATACTCTCACCCCCTACTTTCCCTTAGTTCCCTGAAACCCATGTCTATTCATCCCCTTCATACAAATCTCTCTTCCATACTCATTTTTATTTGTTTTGGTGTATGATGGCCCAAAGAGTTTAAGCAGGGCTGTCCATGGGACCATGGGTTTGGAGCTGGCCACTGGAGTCTGGTGGGCTGAGCAGTGCCCACATAATTGAAGACAATGACTCTTACTCTCCCAGAATTTATCAATAGCCAATACTTCAGCAATAAAGCACTGGGCCTCATGAGCTCCTCCCCCTTCCATCATTGATTAATGACAAGGCCAGTCTTGTTCAGGCTTAGTGAAAGTAATTGCAGCTTCTGTGTGTTTATAAAAAGCAATATCTGCCTTGGGACTTAGAGAATGGACGTTTTAGAGCCTTTTTCCCTATCTTCTAACTCTTAACATTTTTCCTGCCCTTCTCTCTCAATGTTGTCTGGACCTTGTAGAGGGGTGGTATAAATGTCTTCCTAGTGCAGGACCATCAAATATTATTAGGTCTGTTCAACATCTTGTGCAGCCATGGGACTGTGCATTCACTACCAATGGCTAAGGAGGATTCTCGGATTAAGACTGAGAAAGGAGCTTTGTCTAAGGTATAAACATAGTTATTTAGGAGATACTTTGATGATATGTCAAATTATTTAAACAACAGCAAGTGTAAGTTCCTCCATCCAAGCTGTGACCTTCCCAGGCATGAGTGGTTGAATGGGTTTACAATACCTGGCACAGCGCCATAGGGACAAGTCAACTGTTAAAGGCTAGGCTCACAACCAAAAATACAATTCCAGTCATGGAGTCTTTACTCTGCAGTATACCTCTAATGCAACTGAAGGGCATAAATACTCATTTTACTGTTACAGTGGCGGACATGTCTTGCCTGACAAGTGGGTTTTGCAGTTTGTTTTGTGCACAGGAAGTGAAGACAGTTGATAACCACTGCCACCAGAACCATCCCAGTACATCTATAGCTCCTTCCAGAACTTTGAAATCTCAGCATAGAGACAAAGATTCCAGCTGAGTTTCAGGTAGCTTTCTCTATAGCTTTTGACCATGGTGTGCGCTGTCTTTAGCTATATGGTCTTATTCTCTACTTCCGATGGCCAACCAAGAGGACTAATAAGAGCTTGTACTGATTGGGGGAACCTCTGTCTCAAAAGAGGTAGATGGCATGAATGATAAATAATACGTGAGATTGTCTTCCCACCCCTGGTGCACACACACATAAACAAACACACACAGAGGTGTATACACATATATGCATTAAAATGTGCAGTTCACTCTTAACAGATAGCACTGAGAAATTGAGATATAAATGTCCAAGATGGCACAATATTATATTAGATCCTTGTCTCTCACTCTAGGCAAAAGCCCACTGAGAATGGAGTAGACTCCATTCACGCCTCAACTCATGTCTCTTCTCATGAGGGAATCTGAGTTTTGAATTTTTAGATTTGTGGGTTTAGACTGTATGCCTGTAGAAACCAGGGAGACAGACAGGGAACATTGATGTGGGAATGCCTTAAAAGAATCAGTATGGCGGTTGCTCAGAAAAATGGGAATCAGTCTACCTCAAGATCCAGCCATTCCTCTCTTGGGTATATACCCAAATAATGCACATTCATACAATAAGGACATATGTTCAACCATGTTCATAGCAGCATTGTTTGTAATAGCCAGAACCTGGAAATAACCTAGATGCCCCTCAACTGAAGAATAGATAGAGAAAATGTGGTACATTTATACAATGGAGTACTACTCAGCAGAAAAAGCAATGGAATCTTGATATTCATAGGCAAATGGATGGAACTAGAAGAAACCATCCTGAGTGAGGTAACCCAGTCACAAAAAGACAAACATGGTATGTACTCACTCATATATGAGTTTTAGACATAGAGCAAAGGATTACCAGCCTATAATCCTTTTCACCAAAGAAACTAGGAAACATGTAGGACTCTAAGGGATAAATGAATGGACTCCAGGAATGGGAAGTGGCAGGAACTCCTGAGCTAATTGGGAGCATGAGAGTAGGGGAGAGGGAGCTACCACAATGAGAATAGGAGAAGAGGAGAGGAGGAGAGGAAATGGAGGAGCAGAAATATTGAGTTGGGGGCAGAATAGAGGAGAGAGAGCAGGATGAGAGATACCATATTACAGGGAGCCACCATAGGTTCAAGGAGAGATCTGGCACTAGGGAGATTTACAGAGATCTACAAGGACGACACGATCTGTCAATCCAGGCAATGGTGGAGAGGATAACTTAAACACCCTTCCCCTAAAATGAGATTCATGACTACTTTTTATGCCATCCTTGAGCCCTCACACAGTGGCTGATGGAAGCAGAGACAGACATCCACAGATACACACTGAACTGAACTCTGGAACTTAGTTGAAGAGAGGGGGGAATGAAGATTGAAGGGATCGGTACCAGGTTGGAGAAACCCACAGGAACAGTTGGCCTGAACAAGGGGGAGCACATGGACCCCAGATGCTGTCTGAGAGTCTAGTACAGGACTGATCCAGACCCCTTAACATGGATGTCAATAAGAAGGCCTCTGCACTCCAGGAAGCCTCTGGTGGTGGATTAGTATTTTTCCCTGATGCAAGAAGGGACTTTGAGAGCCCATCCCACGTGAAGGGAGGCTCTCTTGCCCTGGACATATGGGGAAGGGCCCAGGACCAGCACAGCAAGATGTGATAGGCTTTGCAGAGCCCCCATTGAGGCCCCTACCCTGCCTGGGGAGTGGGGGGGGGTTGGGGGGGGGGGAAGGTAGGGGGGGAGGGGGGGGGGGGGGGTGGGGAAGGGGGGAGGAGAGGGAGAGGGAGAAGGGATTGACATGTGAAACAAGCTTGTTCCTAACTTGAACTAATAAAAAAAAAGACAGAGACAGGAGAAGACATGCTACATAAAAACCAAGAGGTAGATTATAATGGTGGAAATGTGTGAGGGGACAGGAGTAGGGGCATGGAGAAATAAACAGGGATGAGGGGAGGGTGGATCAAAACTGATGGTGTGTTAAAAAGCTATGTGGAGACCTATTATTTTGTAAGGTAAGTGACAAATACAGTAAGAAGGATCTGAATGGAAGTACCCTGCATGGATAGTGCTGCTCCCAGAATCTATAGACAAACAAACAAAAATCCTAGTGCTGGGTGTGGGATACCACCCTATGAAAAGCCCACAGGTCTCCAAAAGAATGTATACTATTAGCATTTCCTTTTATCTCCAACCAGACTCAGTAAGACCCTACAGCAGAAGACATCATATGATCTGGTTATAGGGCATAGAGAAAAGAAGCTATCCAGTGCTGAACTGGATGTTTACTTCCTGGTAATTAGTTTCATGGTACAAGCAGTGTGAAACAAACTACCAGGGAAGAAAAATCATGGAGAGTATTTTCCAGCTACAAATCCTTCAAGCTACAATACCAACATGTCAGAAAAGAAGTGGTCATTGGTACAATAGTGTCATGAGTATTCTGGTGGTAACCAACCATTTCTGGACTTAATGAATGTCCTTTCAAAAGAAGAAATCCATGCGTGATAGGAACTGCTATTCATGTCCAAAGCACATAGCTAGGGAGCCCATAGACCCTAGGACAGAAACTACACCCTCATCTCCCCAGCATCAGACAGTCAGTCAGGACAGATGGTCAACCATTTCTCCCCAGAAGGACACAGTCAGTCATGACAGATTGTCACCCACATCTCCCCAGAAGCATACAGTCAGTCAGGTCAGATGGTCACCACATCTTTACTGATGCCAGCTTATTTCTAAAGTGCTGCTTCTTTGTATTCCCATCAGCTCTGGTTCTAGTCTGCTATGAAAAACATCATTCCAGACACCCTGATCTTAAACCACCTTTGATATACTCAAGATACACTGGTACAGGAATTTATACAGAGAATACACCTGGCAAAGCATGGAAATAGATTTTGTGGACAAGCAGACAAAGAACTAGGTGTTGAGTCCATCATTAAGAATACAGCAGTTTCATGCCCAGAGATATTTATAAATCTATGTACAGACAACACAGCAAAATTCTAAGAACAAAGTCATTTTGACCTTCCAGTTGACACGGTATGACCAAAGGACCAGATGACAGAGTTACATCAAAGCTGATGGATGAACCCTTGAGTTATTGGAAAGAGTTCAAGTCAGCTATCCCCAAATAAGAAATGAACTCTTCCAAATGATTCAGAGCATTAGGTGAGAATTTCCTAGTTCATTAACATATGTTAAATATGCAAATAGAAAACAAAGAGGTAAAGTCTTCCTGATTGGCCCACACCTGGGGATTCCATGGTATAAAAGGCCTTGACTGGAAGATCTTGCTACACAGTTGAAAACTCACCTGTGAACACAGTATCACCCTCCACACTGACACCATGACCCTCTCTTGCTGCCCACCTTGCTGTCAGCCTGGCTGCTGTAAGACCACCTACTGCTGGACAACTTGCTGCCCACCCTGCTGCCCTGAATCCAGCTGCCCTGAGTCCAACTGCTGCAAGCCTTGCTGCCCACCAAGTTGCTGCAGCAAACCCTGCTCCCAGCCTGGCAGCAGCAACATCAACATAAAAACTGACAGCACTGAGTCCCAGCCCTGCTGCCCACCAACCTGTGGTGAAAGCACCTGCTGCAAGACCACCTGTTGCAAACCAACTGGTGTGAGCATCTGCTGCAGCACACCCTGTTGCCAGCCCTGCTGCTGTGTGCCCACCTGCTGCCAGCCCTGCTGCCAGCCCAGCTCCATAAAGATCTGCTGTCAGCCAACCTGTTCTGAAACCACCTGCTGCAAGACTACCTGTTGCAAATCAAATTGTGTGAGCATTGGTTGCAGCACACCCTGCTGCCAGCCCTACTGCTGTGTGCCCTCCTGCTGCCAGCCCTGCTTCTTCCAGCTGTGCTGCCAACCAACTTGCTCTGAAACCAGCAGCTCTGAGACCACCTCTTTCAAACCAACCTGTGTGACCATCAGCTGCAGCACTCACTGCTGCCAGTCCTGCTGCTGCTGACCCCAAGGAACATCTGCACAGCTGTGCTCTGGGGAGAGCTGACATGCCCTAGCTGCACAAAGCCACAACTTACCCTTTGCTGAATACCTTCATGTTCTCACCAGGACACCCGATGATGTAAATTCTTACTTAGATGTGGGAAATGCTTTGAGGAAGGATGGAGTCCCTCACCCTCACTCTCCTCATCTCCAGGGATTAAGGACCTTGTGCAGTCTTCATGAGGAGCTGATGTGAGGGTCTGGTATCAGTTTAAGATCTGAGCCAAGATCTTTACATCCCTCACTACATAACTTAACAAAACACTGCCCCCCAAATGAAACTTGATTTAAAATGTTATCTCCTCAATTGTATTTTCTTTTGAGTTGGCCCCAGATTTTGTGTGCTATTTTCTTCTATCTGCTCACTTATGGATTGTGCTCCTGCAAGCAAGTAATTTAATAAACCCTGTGTTACCATCATTCCATACTGTCTGTCCTTTGATTTTGATAAATCACTTAATGAAAAATCTATAATCAATAGGTATTTGAATACTAAACATGGTACACTGGATCAGTGACATTAAGCATGGTATTGACCAGTAGATGCATGGAAGGTTTATATCTTGAATAATTAAAATTTAATACCCCATGTGTGACATCTTCCAGTTCCTCCAACCTCAGTGCCCATAAACCAACAGTCTGTACTCTCCATTTCTTACTGACTTTTATACACATTTGGGTGGAATCACATATTCCAATGACATTTCTGTCATATTTTCTTTCTCCATTTACATGTCAGTGGGTTTATAAGTTTCAGCCACATCTTATAAATTGTTGGCCATTATAAGTAATGAGATTAAAATAAACATGGGAGTGTCAATATTGCTTCAGGATTCTGTTGACAACAGTGTCATTTGATAGAAAACAGCTGCATAAGAGATTGTCATAGTGAGTGAAATAAAGCAAACTCAAAAGGCAAACTAACAACCATGTGCTCTCATTTGTAAACCCAAGATTTTACACAGAAACTTCAAATACTATATATAGATTGTGAGAAAGACAGTGACTATTCAGAGAGGGGCTGTGGAGGAGCAAATATCATCAAAGTACATGAGTATAAGATTTACTTGAGGGGACTTTAAGATTCCCTCACTACATTCAATAAATGCAACAACTAAAAATAAAACTTTAAAATAATAAAAGATTGTGGTATCAATAAACTTGAGCAAGTATCCTGAGACATGGCTACTGAGTCATTAATTACCCTTTGTTTATTTTTTGAGGAGTCTTTGTAATGTTCAGCATGTCTGCTATTCTTCTTCATATCCCCCTGCTCTGTAAGAGTCCCAGTCTCTGGGGCTAGAAAGATGGTACCAAGTTAAGAGCACACATTGTTCTTGAGGAGTACCTGAGGAGTTCCCAGCATGCATAGAGTAGCTCACAAGAACCTGTTATTCGTGTGCCAAGACATCCAATGTCTTCTTCTGATATCCCTAGGCATGTGGCGTACACCCATACATGCAGGTAAAACACGAGGATACACAAAAATAATAAATGGATTATCTTACCTTTTTAAAGTTTTAGGAACACATTTCTCCACACATTTGTCAACATCTTTTGATCCCTTCTTTTCTGACATGAGACAGACATCAATCCAACACTGCTGTTGCTACACACTCAAATAACATGCCAGTGTTTAAAACATCTCATGCCTTCAGGAAAAAATAAACAACATAGTGAAGGAGCACTCTTGTTCTGCTACTCTGCCCTGGGAAAGGCATGGTATAAGTGTATGTCCCTGGACTTAAACTTCTTTGCTTCGCCTCACAGTTATCTTAAGAGAAATGGCATTCCTTCCCATCAACTGCACCAGTTCCTGATCTCATGATCTCTGAGTTACTCCTTTCCAAAGGTTGCCTTTGCATATAATGCCCAGAAGCTATTGTGTTGTTATTCTCTTTAAACAAACAAACAACTACAAACAGAATATATATAGCCCTGCCTGACATGGAGCTCTCTCTGTAAACCACAGTGGCCTTGAAATCGCGGAAGTCTGCCTGCCTCTGCCTCCCAAGTACAGAGATTAAAGATGTGGTGATTCACAGATGGATAATTGTTCAACTTTTAAGTTGTAACCTTAAAGGGAATTCTGAACTCTTGATTTCTCACTTGGGCACCTGGTGATGCCATTTTCATGGCAAGATTTGTGACTTACTGTAAAATTTTGCTGGAATTTAAAACTATTTAAAATGCTGAAAATGTCTTTCTCTGGAACCCAGAATTCAGGTTTCATGCATGACACTTTTCTAGACAGCCATGTAGACATCCAGGATCTTGACTATTCTTAGGAAACAGGATACAGTAGGAAGCTGAATAAAAAACTCTAAAAGACACTATGCTGACCTGAAGTCCATCCCAAGATTCATTACCATCTCATTATACAACTTCCTAGTGAATTCCTGTCTGACATTGTCATCTCCTGCCAGGCAGCTTTCAAAACAGACTAAAGCCGGATGAGAGGAGAGTTAGAGGAATAGGAAGTCCACCAATACTGGATTCCCACCCTGAAGAGTCAAGGAAGATGCTCTTATCATTATCTAAAATCCTCCTCTGTCTCCCCTGACCCACAGAAGATCATCTCATCCTTTATTTATATAAAAACTTGCTTGGCTGTTCTCAGACCAACACTGAGTTCCATGGTTCAATGGTATCTCAGCTTTTTCCATGATTCCCAGAGAAGTAAGAAACCCTGGTTTGGTGTCAGTGAATAGAAACCCTTTAATTTCATCCTTATGCTTTAAAGCCAGTTATGAGTTTATCTGCCATGCAAGTCAAAGATTTATGAACATATAAATGTATGAATGTATGCCTGCAAGTGTTATGTACACCATATGAGTGCAGTGCCCACAGAGGCAAAACGAGGGCATCTGGTTCCCTGGAAGTGGAGTTACACATAGCTGTGACCCACTGTATGGCAACTGAGAACTGAATTTTGGCTCCTGGCAAGAGCATCCGTGCTCTTCACAACTGAGCCATCCCTCCAGGCCCCGAAGAATATTTTTCAGCAACTCCTAGAGCTTCATCGATGATGTCTTTGTGAGTCTGAATGTCTGTCAGTAGAGTGGCTAGCTGTATTCCCAAACACCAGGGAATATGCCTTTTTGTGTGGTTGTGATTTGGTAGCTTCAGCTGGCTGTATTAGTTAGCAAGCACACTTCTCTAGTTTTCTTCAGTGAGTTTAGATGGAACATTCTTTTTTAACATCAAAACCTCTATAAATGAAAAGAGACAAAAGGCAGAATGCTGTAACATGTAAGTGCTCAGAAGAAATGTTAACATGCAATACATTAGTGTGCTGCTGTGACTCTAGGCACAGACCCTTAACAGAACAGCTGTGTTGCGTTTTTAACTTTGTGAGCTATTTTATTATGTATTTTTGTTGATACTAATTAAATTTGTTTTCTGGCAATTTCAAACGTATAATATGCATATTGATAAGTCTCACACCTCATATTCCCTTATTTCACTAAAATTGATGTCTACCTATGCCCTTCATACAAATCTCTTTTCCATACTCGTTTTTATTTGTTTTCCTATGTGACTCAAAGAGTTTAACCTGGGCTGTCCATGTGACCATAGGTTTGGAGCTGTCCATTGATGCCTGGTGTGCTCAGAAGCGGCCACATAATTGAAGACAATGACTCTTCCTCTCCCCAGAATTTATCAATAGCCAATATTCAACAATAAAGCATTGGGCCTCCTGAGCCCCTCCCCCTTCCATCATTGATTATTGACTAGTCCAGTCTTGTTCAGCCTTAGTGAAAGCAATTACAGCTTCTGCGAGTTTATAAAACAAATGTCTCTTTTAGGACATGCAGAATAAATTTTATAGCCTTTCTCCCTATCTTCTAGCTCTTACATTTTTTTATTATTTTTTTCAGTGGACTTTGAGCCTTACAGGGGGTCATATAAATGCCCTCCTTAGTGCTGGGCCATCAAATATTATGTATTATCAGCATCTTGGGCAGCCATGGAACTGTTTATTCACTACCAATGGCTGCAGAGATGCTTCTCTGATTAAGGCTGAGAAAGAAGATTTTGTCCATAGGTATAAATATAGTTGCTTAGGAGATACTTTTATAGTATGTCAAATTATTTAAACAGCAGCAAGTGTAAGTCCCTCCATCCAACCTGTGACCGTCACAGGCATGGGCAGTTGAATGGGTTTACAATACCAGGCAGGCATGGAGTCTGAACTCTGCAGTAGAACTCTAATGTAAATGAAGGGCACAAATACTCATTTCACTGCTACACTGGTGGACACACCTTGCCTGACAAGTAGGTTTTGTAGTTTGTTTTTCTCACAGGTAAGAAAGATGCTGATAAACGCCACCACCAGCAGCAGCACCCCAGTAACATCTATAGCTCCTTCTGGCACTTTGAAATCACAGCACAGAGATGAAGCTTCTGGCTCAGTTCTATAGGTTTTGGCCATGGTGTGTCCTGTCTCCAGCTATATTCTTATCCTGTATTTCTGATGGCCAACCAAGAGGACTAATAAGAGCTTTTACTGTTTGGGGGAACCTCTGTCTCAAAAGAGGTAGATGGCATTTCTGATAATGACACCTGAGATTGTCCTCCTACCCCTGGTGCACACACACATAACCAAACACACACACACATAGAGGTGTATGCATACATACGCATTAAAATGTACAGGTCACCCATAGCAGAGGAGAGCACAGCCCTTTTAACAGATAGCACTGATATACTGAGATATCTAATTGTACAACAATATATAAGATTCTACTTGATCTTTATCTCCCATTCTAGGCAAAAGCCCACTTAGCATGGAGCAGACTCCATTCAGGCCTCAACTCATTTGTTTTGTCCTAAGTGAATTTGTTTTCAATTTTTATATTTGTGCCATTAGCTTGGATGCCTGTTGAGACCAGGGAGATAGACAGGGAACAATGATGTGGGAAGTCCTTAAAGAACAGGGACAGTAGAAACATATTATGT